AGCTTTTTTCTCCTTTACAAAAGCAGAGTTGCCAAGAAACTTGATTTTTTGCATCTGCAAAACTCATGTTTAATGAATCACTGGCCTTTTTGTTTTTTTAATCAATAGTAAATAACACAGAGACAGACATCATCTATTACAAGCTCTCTTCATCTATGCCCTTCTCTTCTGGGAATTCCTTGTCCCCCACCCACATCACAGGGAAGAGTCCCAGGTACCCATGTTCGTATCAGTCAGGTCTTAAATGTTAGCTCCTCAGAAAGACTTTGCAAACAGCTCCCCAGCACCCTCCCACAGCAATTCACTCTGTTTTATCATCAGAGCTCAGTAGCAGCTATTCTCTTGTCCACTGTTTTTCTCTTTTCAGTGAGGGGCTGTGTCCGTCTTGTTTACTGCTGCGTCCCCAACACCAAGAATCGTATCTGGCACATAGTATGCACTCAATAAAATCGTAGTCACAGAACAAGTGAAAAAGCCCATGTGACCCTGCTTGCCTGTGCATAGCTAACAGGCCCAGGGAGACCCTGAGCAGACAAGGTCAACCGGGACACCTGTCGGGAATTTGGAACTGCGAATCAGAGACCGTGGAAATGGGTGAAGGTGGAAGCTGTCGGGGGCCTTATGCTGGCTCCTGGGCCAGAGAAAGAGAGTCACCTGGCCTAGAAAGGAGCAGGCATCTGTGAGAAGCAGCGGGGAGCTTTCCAGGGCCTGGTCCCACAGCCCTCAGGGGCCAGCTGTGTTTCAGCCTGGAGTCGCATAACCTTAGAGTTGAGCTCTAGGTTTCAGGTTAAGCCAACGGGAGTTGGAACCCGTTACCTACAACCAAGGAGTCCAGGTCAACAGCACCTACTGTCACCATCATGTTTTACAAATTCATAGCAAACGTATTCGGGGAAAATACTCCAGCGGTGGGACCACCTGGCAGTGAAACGACTCACCAAAGTCTTCAGAGTTGTGCCTGGGGCTTTCCAACGCCCAGGCCAGGATCTTCTTCACAAGGGAGTCTTTGGCTGGGGATTGCGCTTTTCATCCCCCAAATGCTGCACTTCAGTAACTTATTCCCCAGCAAGTTCTCTCACTCAAGGTGAAAGCAAGCCGCCTCCTGTGGGCGAACCCAGCCCGCTGGGCGTCACTGCCCGACTGCCGTCTTAAGAAAGCTGCCGAGCAGCGTCCACACGGGGTAGGAGGTGCCGAGGTTGATTAACGGCATCTGCCCCAAGTGCGTGGAGGCAGGAGATGGGATGGAGCAAAGTTCTGTTCTAATTCTCTCTCACGTGCAAGGCAAAGCTTTGCTTTATGAGAGCGAGGAAAACAGAAAGTCACGGGATACACTGTGTCACATATACTTCTATCCCTGGAGTGTAGAAGTTGTTCTAACTTTGTTGTGTAAGGATGGCATAGTGAGGACATAAAGAATGAGGCAGTGGCTGTATAAATCCTGCTTTGCCTTTTAAATTACCCTCGTTTGAAATCCCATTGCACTTTCTTTGGCTAGCTGGTGGCCAAGAGGGCTGTCATGGAGGCTGGCGGGGGAGGGAGGGTGGTGTCAGCTGACGGTTCCACACTGCGGGGCAGAGGCCTGATGGAGGTGCCTGTGGACCATTTCACCCTGCGGCTCTAATTCCTAAATAAATCTCACTCAGCTGCTGATTTTCTCACTTCTCTTCTTGATTGTGCATCCAACACCCCCACCTGGTTTCTAGAAAGCTCCTTAACTGACCCGAAGCCCACCTGGGCGAGCAGCCCTGTCTTGGGCTCCGAGAACCAGTGAGACAGGGAGGAGGGACGAACAGCCCAAAGAGTGGTGCAGGAACAAGACACAAGCTGTTACTTAGAAACCGCAGGGAGATTAAGCTGATGCAAGACGACTGGGCACAAGCCCAGAGCCAGACAACACAAGGGGACAGGGGCTTTCTCCTCCAGCAGCAGCAATCCCCTCCCCTCCCCTGCTTCTCCCCTAGTCCCCTTCCATCGCCCCAGCTGCTGGCAAACCCCACAGATACAAGCAGGCGATTCTCAGTTTCCTGGGCCTGGCATGGGCCGTCTCTACAGTAGGTGCGCAGGGCTTGTTTATCTTTGCAGCTGTGTGGGTGGCAGACAGCCCTGGGCAGAGGCAGTGGACAAGCAGGCCCTCTGGGGGTCCTCAGGGCCGAAGCCCACGCTGCTCTGCCATCCACGCTGGAGTGGTTTTAAATATTTTCAACGTGGATCGTAAGTGTTACCTCACCATGGACCCAGCTGCCAGCATCTCCAAAATGCAGGAGAAGCTGAAGAAATGAGCCAAAGGAGACTGGAACCTTCCTTTCCCACTGTTAAATACAATTGGTAGGAGGCTATTGATTTGGACGAGGCTCTTGTACTGGGCCCAACAGACCAAACCAATATGGAGTCGTTCATGCTAAATGAAACTAATTAACTAAATAACTTGGGTGTATTCTCATGTAACAGATGGCTGAGTTTCTCGTAGTTAAAGCAGCTGAGCTTTAGTCAATCATAGGCGGCCAGCTGATTCAAATAAGGCTGGAACCAATTAAGCTCTAGACCTCACTTCTGTTTCCATCCATACACACTGCCTGACCACGTGGCTGGTTCTTTGAAACTTTTCTGCTTCCTGAGGGCTGGCTGATTCAAGAACTGTGAATAAAAGCCACTTACGATCTTTAGACTAAATTTGTTGTAATTTTGTCTTTTTGACACCACTGACTTAGAAAGTTCTAAGGAAGGTTCCAGAAATCAGATTTACCTGAGAACCCTGTTAGCTCTATATCCATTTGCCAATTGTTTGTGAGTTTTTAGAATTCAGAATGGAATAACACAAGCGAAAGATAAAATGGATTTTCTGACTCTAAAAGTGGTTAAATCCAGGATTACTTGGGGATTTTTCCCACCTTTACAAATCTTAAAAGTAGAAGAAACTCCCTTCTACCTGGATAATTTCTGTGTATGTTCTAGGCTGCACAAAAGGTGGAAATCACCGACTATAATCTTGGAAAGACCTCTGCAACCCTGAATTCTTAAGATCTTGCTCTTATATAATGCACTTTTTGTTTGTTTGTTTTTAAAGATTTAAGTCTTTGTGCGGCAGCCAGAGGTTACGTGAAGCACAGCAAATAGGTTTTATCTTGCACACTGAGTCCTATTAAGTGGTAGCAGCTGCTCAAAGCGCTGCGTTAACAAGCATTCTCAGGCCACAGCTGGTGCCGCAGGAAGGCGCGGGCTGAATGAGCAATGGCTGCTGTGGATGTGGGGAGCAGGGCCGCCCTCACTGAGGAAGCAGGTCAGGAGGGGCGAGTGGCTCAGCCTGGCTGTGACGTGGAGATGATGGCTCTCGTGCCACATGTGTGTCATCCCTGAGTTAAGTGGAGAGGCACCTTTTAGCCTTCTGTACCCAGGGCTTCTTAGGATTCTGGAAAATGGACTATTAAAGGGGTTAGGAGACAATAATTCATTATCGGTGGTTTCCCCCAAGGAACTGACAATCTAGCTGCCTCGGAGACAAGTTTGTTATTTACAGATGATGCCTTCTATCCTGTGAGCAGCAAGAGGCAGAGCCCCACTCTCCCCATTCTGGTTTGGGTCCTTGGGACTTGGTTCCTGGATGCTGGCCCAGTCTCTAGACTCCCCTTCTTGGGTCCATTCCCCCAAGGCTGCCAGAGTGAGCTTTCTAGATCAGAACCTTACTTAGAACTTTCTAAGTCAGTGGTGTCAAAAAGACAAAATTACAACAAATTTAGTCAAAAGATCGTAAGTGGCTTTTATTCACAGTTCTTGAATCAGCCAGCCCTCAGGAAGCAGAAAAGTTTCAAAGAACCAGCCACGTGGTCAGGCAGTGTGTATGGATGGAAACAGAAGCGAGGTCTAGAGCTTAATGGGTTCCAGCCTTATTTGAATCAGCTGGCCACCTACGAGCGCCTAAATCCTGGTTATGTCTGTCCCCTTCAGGAGTCCCCACCACCCACAGGACAATTATTTGCTCCTGCCTAAGGTTCATCTTGACCAAGCCCCCGCTGGTCTCTCCTTCCCCACGTCCTGTCCCTCTTTTCCTTCACGTCACAGCCAGGCTGAGCCACTCGCCCCTCCTGACCTGCTTCCTCAGTGTGGGTGGCCCTGCTCCCCACAGCACCCCCACCCAGAGACTCAGCCGCGTCCTCCTCGGGCAGCCTTCCTGGCTACCTCGGCTCTGCCCGTGGACTGGATGAAAGAGGCCTCACAAGCCACTCTGGGCCTGCTTTGACCCCATGTTGCCACCGCATGTTTGTCTGTCTCCCCTGCTAAGCCCTGAGCTCTGTGGGGACGGAAGAATCTTACTATCTGCATCCAAACCGCTAGGGCAATGGACGGACCACGGGGCCCTGATACACGCCGGTGGAATGGGTGGAACAATGGGGATTGGGTAGTTTTCCCAAATTCATGAAATTAGTGGTGGCTCAGCACACAGCTCATGACCATGAAGTGGATACCACCCATTCCCCCACAGTATCTTCATCGTTTCCCCTCATTACCTGCGCTCCTGGCCCCATACGTGGCTTCTCCCCAAAACATTAGTTATTGCAAGAAATTGAGACAAAGGAGCAAGTGCCAGTTGTGAATTCTGCAAAACTCTAGAAATTCACAGTCACTGAATCTTAGGTCCAGGGGAAACCTTTAGGAACCCGTTCAGCTGAGGTCCCAGAGGTCACCCAGAAAGTCCGTCTCATTCATGCCTCCCTCCCGCCCTCTCCCTCCTCCTCTCCCTCTTTTGGAAAAAGGAGTTGCTTTCAGCAGCTATAAGGGCATCTATGAAAATTATATGAGCAACTTTTTATGCTCCATATGATGACAAATATTTAATTTGATGGAGACAAAAGTAAAGCGAGTAAGGGGCTCATTTTGGCCCCAATTCTGCAGCTGCACACAGCCCTGACTCCCAGATCCTTTAACCAAACTTTCCTAGCTTTTTCTATTTCTTGGGGGGGAAAAAAAAGAGTGGCTCATTTAGAGGGGGCAGCGGAACGACTTGCCTTCTGCAGCTGTGTTTTCGTCTCATAGTAGGTGATCACCGGGATGGACGCGCGGTAGTAGGCTTCCAGGCGCTTGGCGATGGTCTTGGTCGTGTCGTCCGTGTGCGGGCTGCCCTGGCTCCTTTGCAGAAGGCGGTTGGTCATGGTGTCTGCCGAGCAGTCCATGCAGATCACCAGGTGTGGGTGTCCGATCTGGGGGGCGGGGGGAGCGGAGCACAACACGGTCAGAAATGTCACTCTGTTGACGTTCTGGAGAGGCCTGGGGCCTCTAGTTCTTTCCTTTCTTGGCCTTCTGGTTCCTCTCACGGTCCCAGAGCTACATCGTGGCACGGCTGGAACTGGACTCCAGGGCTCCTCATTTCCACAGGCTGCCTCAGAGCCCCCGTCTTTCCAATCACCTCACATAACGTGGGGATTATATGCTACCTAGTGCAGCCACACTCTGTCCTCCGCGCTAAGGGGAGGCGGGGAAGGGGTGCGGATGTGTGTGGTGTTTCCTCCTGTGTGAAGCCTTCCCTGACCTGCTGCGACAGAGCTAATCCCTGCTCCTTAGTACCACCGTGATGCCTCGTACCAGCCATCGTCGTGGCAGAGGCTGTGTTACGTGGGGCGAGCGGAGCATAATGGTTGAGCACACGGGGGTCAGAGTCAGGCCGCTTAGGGTCAAGTTCTGGTGTGATGACTTGTCTCCAAGAGGGACTTCACCAATCCCTTACCTCACTTTACGTGTAGACTACTCCCCCACTCAGATCAGAGCCCTTCCCTCCACCCCCTTGAAGCTGAGCTGACATGTCGCTGTTTAACTTTTGACCAACAGACTGTTCCAGCAATGCTGCCACACGCTTTTAGAGGCTAGGTCATAAGGAATTCTGCAGTTTCTGCCTTGCTTTGTGCAACACTTGCTGTGGGGAAGCCAGCTGTCCTCTATGGTGTCCAACCACCCTGTGACTGCCAAGCAGTGAGAGAGCCCCAGCTAGGCACGTGGACGGGCCATGTGGACAGAGATGACCGGCCTGCCCCCGCTGATTTAATACACCCCAAGCACGGCTCTAGCCGGTGTGCCCAGCCTTAGCTGCTGTCAGACTGCAGCCCGGTAAGGGGCCCCAAGTGAGAACCAGCCAGGTGAGCCCATCAACCTCCAGAACCATGAGAGATAATAACAAATTGTCCTTTTTTAGATTTTTTAAAATCTATTTTTACTTTTTTAGAGACAGTCTCGCCATGGTGCCCATGTAGGAGTGTAGTGACCATTCACAGGAGCAGTCACGGCACACTGCAGCCTCGAACCCCTGGGCTCCAGCCATCCTCTCGCCTCAGCCTCCCAAGTAGTTGGGACAACAGGTGCATGCCACCGTGGCTGGCTTACAAATCATTCTTTTAAAATGATTTCATCACTAACTAAAAGTGTCACCCAACTTCTATGCACCTCAATTTTCTCATTTGTACATTGAGATGATCACAGTTGTGTGAAGATTAAATAAAATTAAATGAGGTAATGCAAGTATACTGCTTGGCACATAGAAAATAGCAAGTATTCACTGTTACGCTTCTTTGTGCTCTTGGGCTATGTTCTCTGTTTGCAGGGATTAGGAATCCTCTGTCCCTGGTCCCAAGTCTTGCACACAGTGGGTCATTAAGGCATGTTTTAATGAGTGAATGAATGATGGTGACGTGATCTGTGACATGAATCTCCTCATCTCCGCATCCTGCTCTGAGCTGGTTTTTTGTCCCTGGTGTCCCTGGGGCACACCTACCCTGCCTCTGCTACCAACTCCAACCCTGGATCAAAAGAAACCATTACCGCCTTCTGACCTAGCTATTCAGGCCACAAGGAAAGGGCTGCCACCCACTGTGGAAGTGCATGGATGGGCTGAGAACAGAGGTGAGAGAACCTTTAGGCAAAACACAGAAACAGTTGCTAGAAAGTGTTGATCAAACGTTTGAGGGATGTACTTTAAGAAATAGTATGGGAAAAATTCCCCAAAATCTAGAAGAGTGAAATAAACCTCTAGAATATGTCATGCAACTTTTCTGAGAGTATTTATTGGAAGAAAAAAATGGGAATTTGTGCAGCAAGAAAGGGTGAGGCAGGGTTTAGGAGAAAATGACACTTGTTGACCAGCAGAGGGCGAGCTTGGGCGGTAACTTAATGTTCAGTCAGAGAGTTCTGCTTCCTGAAACAATTTTGGGTTAGAGCTGCATGAGGTGGCCAGGTGATTTTTCCAATTCTGGGGTCGTTTTTCAGGCCACTTGTGGGGACAGGAAAGATAATTCAGTGACTCATTTGGGTACAAACAGAGATTATGTGTATTTGAGCAGGAGCTGGAAGTATTATAGATGAACCTCTGGACCAAAATAAGTGTAGGCAGAGAGGTAGATCTGTCTTCGCCACGGGTTCCCAGAGTGTGGCCCATGGACCAGCAGCATATCGTTTGGGAGCTTATTAGAAGTGCAGTCTCTGGGAGGCCGAGGTGGGAAGATTGCTTGAGGTAAGGAATTCCAGACCAGCCTGAGCAAGAGCAAGACCCCTGTTCCGTGTCTACTAAAAATGGAAAAAATTAGCCGGGCATGGTGGCACATGCCTGTAGTCCCAGCTACTCGGGAGGCAGAGGCAGGAGGATTGCTTGAACCAGGAGTTTGAGGCTGCAGTGAGCTGTGATGACAGGGTGACAGAGCGAGACTCTGTCTCAAAAGAAAAAAGACATGCAGAGTCCCAGGCACAATCTGACCTACTGAATTGAAGTCTGCATCTTAACAAGATCCCGAGAGGATTATTCACAATGTAATAGAGAAGCTGCCCCACCACACTTTTTCCTTGTGCCAAAACTGTGGGGTCTGCTCTACCCTCTCTCTCCTGGAATCAGCACTCTCTTCCTGTACAAAAAGCTACCAAGCAGTCATTCCATTTGGATGTGACTTGAGCCACCTGTTGTAATACTTAAATTTTTCTCGTTGTTTGGCAAGTCTCAAACCTGTGTGAGATAACCTAAAAATTTTTGAAATGTTTGCACAGGTATTATCTCTGGGTGGTTCTTTTTTGTTTTATACTTTTGTGTATTGTTTCATATTATATAACTTTTATTTGTACAGTCAAAAAATGTACATTATTTTAAAAAACTGTAACAATTTACTGAACACCGTATGTAGGCTTAGAAATGGGTAAAAGCACTTTTCAAGGATCCCATCCAAACTTCCCAACAATCACTGAGTTAGGTATTTTCAACCTACATTTCATAGAAGAGGAAATTGAGATCTGCCAAGTTAAACGACTTGCCTACCAGTGGTGAGTTACAAAGCCCAGCTCTGAATACAGGCCTGTTTATGCCGGAGTCACTCTAACGAGGGGTTGTCAACTGGGACGGGGGATGGAGATGGTGATCAGAAACACTGACTCCTCCCTCACATTCTTCTGCCCCAGTCACACACATGTACACGCATACCCGCCCCCTTCCCCAACATACCATGCTGGATACTGAAGGCACAGATCATTAATTCAATGGGGGAAAAAATCAACCTTGGGAATAGAAGATAGGAAGGTAATAGAGAAACCACACGCAGACTTACCCCTAGGTAGTGGACATTAGTTTGTGTTTGATTTTTAGTGAAGTCGTATACAGTAGCTGAGTAAATCCTCAAAGGACCTTGCATCTCAGAGAACTCAGCTATAGTATGCAAAAGTGTCAGCCTAACTAACTGAACTGGATTTTTTAAGGCAACAGATTAGTCCCCTGCATCAGGCATACCAATCTCTGTGACACAGAAAGGTTGGTGAGATTCCTGTAGGCTGGTTAAAGCCTCTCACAGGCTTGAATGGGCTTCAAATGAAGTTGGAGGCCTGATGCACACACAAGAAACACTATGCTTTCAACCAAGCTGATTATTCTGAATCTCTGGGGCAACTTGGATGTCCTTATCTGTCGTTGCCAAATTTCAAATTAATTTCTTGCCTATAATTTGGAGGAGATTCTACAAATGATGAGGTCCCTGCAGTGCATAAATGAGTCAATGGTAGCTCATTCTGTGTTTGTAGCATCTTTGTTCTTCTGGTCAGATTTAAAGAAGGTGCTCATTTTGGAGGGTTGGATATGTTCTCTTGCATACCTACGCAATTGATATCAGAATCTTCCAAAGTTACTATACCTAAGAACAAAGACTCTTGGTCTCTGTAAGCTCCTCCTAGCAGCATGTAAAAGACTGTCTTTGTAGATGTCTGAACATCTTACTTAAGGGTTGTAGGTTCAGTAATGAAATGGGGCCCTTGTATATTTTTTGAAATGGCATCATGAATTTTAGCATCAGTTGAAACTGTCCAGTCACCATATTGGTGATTCTTTCTCGTTTCTCAGACTTCTTTCTCAGTTCTAGTTAGGTTTCTTTCTTCTTTGCCACATTCTAAAACCTGTGTGAATGAGGACCATGATGGGAGAGGAAGTTCTGCTTTACTTTAGGAAAGATCACATGGATCATCTGAATTCATATTTACCCAAAGATCAGGGGATAGACCAGCCTGCATAGAGCCCTGAGCTCACTCTAACTAGGTTATAAGCAAAGGAGAAAGAAGTGAGGGAGCAGGGATCTTAGAGATTTCTATGAGTTGTGATTATAAAGTGAGTGACCCTAGCCAGGCACAGTGGCACATGCCTGTAGTCCCAGCTACTTGGGAGGCTGAGGTGGGAGGATTGCTTGAGCCCAAGAGTTTGAAGCCAGTCCGGGCAACATGGCAAGAACCTGTCTCAAAAAAAAAAAAAAAAAAAAAGTGAACCCAAGCTAGGTAATATTTTATAGGCTTTTGTAGCTTAGAAAGCATATTTATATATGTTATGTCATTTGATTTTCACAAAACCCTTTATTTTATTTTTTTGTAGAGACAGGATCTTGCTATGTTGCCCAGGCTGGTCTCAAACTCCTGGCCTCAAGCAATCCTCCTGCCTCAGCCTCCCAAAGTGCTGGGATTATAGGCATGAGCCATTGCACCCAGCTCACATAAAACTCTTTAAATAAGGGTTGGCAGGAGTTATCATCTCCATTTTACAGAGGTGGGATGTGAAGTTGAGTGATTTGCCCAGGGCCACACTAATATACGGCAGAGGTGAAAACCCGGATTTTCCGACTCCAGGGCACAAGTGTGACATACTTTAAAGATGTTACCTTGGGAGGCTCTGTGTGGATCCCATAGAGCTATCATTGCTCAAAATGGTGTGGAACCCCATAGGACTAAGTTCTGGGATTTGCCTTCAGATTCCATTTATAAAAAGCCCCAAAGGAAGAATAAGGACTGTACTTTAATTTTGTTTTTGTTGGCACCCAGTAGTTGACCACCTCCCTAAAAAAGAAAGAAAGAAAA